TTATTATTATTCTAGTTGCTTCCGTACACTTTTTGGCACTTAACTACTTCCACAATTTTCAGCCGATTTTCACCGTTCAAATTTTAAACTATTCTGCTATTTTTGCTAATTCCTGCTATGACTTTTGCTATTTTTAGCTATTATACTTTTTAAAATATTAAGCTTTTTTCCTTTAATTTGTCCCATTGAAATGAATGGGAAACTTCCAAAATTCTGCTAAATTTTGCTTGTTTCTGAAACTTAACTACTTCCTCATACTTTCGCCTAGAACAACCATTCAAACTTTAAAATGTTCTCAAATTATTGGGCTATTCAGGTATAAAGCAGCTTTTTCAAATCTTTTACCGTTTTACTTTTATGCCCCTTAAAGTTTTGAGTTTCAAAATTATGATTTTTCACAAAATACATGCGTTGTTATGGTTGCTATGCTCTTGGCTTCCAGTGTGTCACTAAAGGTTTTGCAATTTTCACTTCATGTCCGAACAACTTCTTGCTACTTGCTCAATTTTCACTCAACTTCCACATAGAATTTTTGCAAATCTCCTCAGACCAACACAAGGTCTCAAAACTCTCCATATAAAGTCAATGGAGAGCTTGTTCAAAATCATCGCTGGATTTCTGTAATGAGAGGCATATTCGAATCGTCATATCTCCTTAACGAAGCGACTTTAAGACATGAGGCTTGTCCCCGAATATCTTCAGACACCCCTGACGCTCACAATTCAAGAATTTCTTTCTCACCTATTACCGTTCTGAAATGAGTTGGACTTGTTTGAGGGTAGGAAATTCGTCCTTCGCTCAGATTTCTTCAGATTTAAAACTCTGGAAATGAACCACTTTTTTCTCTCGTCATAACTTTTTTTTGGATTTCCACAGAGACCTGAAAATTTCCATGACTGTTCACCAAAGCCTGCTGTCTCTTACGGTGAAAGAATGATATCGATACTCCAAATAGATTTCGAGTTACAAAGCGTTGTTTGAGGGCAAGTCAAGGCAGTTTTTGCTTCGCTCTACTCAGTTATGGTGCATTACAAGTCAAATATCTTTAATAATTCATATTTTAATGATAAATTGTAAACACTGGAAGATTCCCCCATCTCTTCTGAACAAAACGGTGTAAGAATGACCGCTCTAGCCCCTACGGTTTGGAAATTATGGTCATTTGTTTGAGGGGAGTCCTCACTATGAGAAATAGGCTGCAATAATCCTGTGCCTCTCTGTGCTGCGTGTGTAAAAAGAGGCACATGTTTTGGCGGGAAAAAGTACACAGGCTCTCTGATTGGTGGATTCAAATTCAGCAGCTCCCAGGCTGACCTAGAAACTTACTTCTCTCTCCCTGTGCATTTTTTTGCTGATTTTTTCATTTAACAAGTATATTTGAGGGACCCTCAGCATGTTCAGCATTTTTTCAGCTGTCCATTTTGCTTTTCCAATTTTTCTGTTTAACTGATTACTATTGTGCTAAATCATACTATTTCTGCTATTTTATAAGATTTGTGCCTAATATAGTATTTCTGCTAAATTACAGTATTTCTGCTTTTTATACTATTTGTGCTAAAACATAGTATTTCTACTAAATGTAGTATTTATGCTTAATCATACTATTTCTGCTTTTTATGGGATTTGTGCCTAATATAGTATTTCTGCTTTTTATAGGATTTTGCTCAAACATAATATTTCTACTAAATGTAGTGTTTATGCTTAATCATCCTATTTCTGCTTTTTATAGGATTTGTGCTTAATATAGTATTTCTGCTAAATTATAGTATTTCTGCTTTTTATAGTATTTGTGCTAAAACATAGTATTTCTGCTAAATGTAGTATTTATGCTTAATCATAGTATTTCTATATATTTCTATATATTTCTGCCAGGTCCCCAGGCAGCCAATCCTCTGTGAGGACTTAGACATTCAAATTTTCAAATCAGGGCCTGCACGGTTTCCCAGCCAATCATATATGTGTCCTGAGGCATTCAAATTTGCATATTGGGGCCTTCATGGCTTCTAAGCCAGCCAATCATATCTGAGGGCTGAGGAATTCAAATCCACAAATCAGGGCCTGCACAGCTTCCCAGCCAGCCAATCATGTATGTGGGCTCCAGGTATTCAAATTTGCATATTGGGGAATTCGTGGCTTCTAAGTCAACAAGTCATCCATGTCATATATCTCTAAAAATTCATATTTTAATGATAAATTGTCAACACTTGAAGATTCCCCCATCTCTTCTGAACAAAACGGTGTAAGAATGACCGCTCTAGCCCCTATGGTTAGGAAATTATGGTCATTTGTTTGAGGGGAATCCTCACTATGTGAAATAAACTGAAAGAAGCAGGTCTATGTCTCTGTGCTGCGTGTGAAAAAGATGCACCTGTTTTGGCGGGAAAACGTAAACAGCCTCTCTGATTGGTGGATTCAAATTCAGCAGCTCCCAGGCTGACCTAGAAACATAGTCCTCTCTCCCTGTGTGTGTGTGTGTGTGTGTGTGTGTGTGTGTGTGTGTGTGTGTGTGTGTGTGTGTGTGTGTTTAGTGGGAGAGAGAGGACCCTGCCCTTATTTGGCAGCATGTCATTGTAGGATTTAAATTGAACATAGTTAGACTGGTTGACTGGATTAGAGCCTGTGTTTGTGTGTCCCTCTGTGCATTTGTGTTTCAATAAGTTATTACTATTCTGCTAAATCATAGTATTTCTGGTACTTTTCGGTACTTGTGCTAAATACAGTATTTCTGCTAAATCATACTATTTCTGCTTTTCATAGGATTTATGCCTAATATAGTATTTCTGCTAAATTATAGTATTTCTGCTTTTTATAGGATTTGTGCCTAACATAGTATTTCTGCTAAATTATAGTATTTCTGCTTTTTATAGGATTTGTGCCTAACATAGTATTTCTGCTAAATTATAGTATTTCTGCTTTTTATACTATTTGTTCTAAATTATAGTATTTCTGCTTTTTATCGGATTTGTGCTTAATATAGGATTTCTGCTAAATTTTAGTTTTTCTTCTTTTTATAGTATTTGTGCTAAAACATAGTATTTCTACTAAATGTAGTATTTATGCTTAATAATAGTATTTCTATATATTTCTGCCAGGTCCCCAGGCAGCCAATCCTCTGTGAGGACTGAGACATTCAAATTTTCAAATCAGGGCCTGCACAGTTTCCCAGCCAATCAAATAAGTGTCCTGAGGCATTCAAATTTGCATATTGGGCCTTCGTGGCTTCTAAGCCAGCCAATCATATCTGAGGGCTGAGGAATTCAAATCCACAAATCAGGGCCTGCACGGCTTCCCAGCCAGCCAATCACATATGTGGTCTCAGGCATTCAAATTTGCATATTGGGGAATTCGTGGCTTCTAAGTCAACAAGTCATCCATGTCATATATCTCTAAAAATTCATATTTTAATATTAAATTGTCAACACTTGAAGATTCCCCCATCTCTTCTGAACAAAACGGTGTAAGAATGACCGTTCTAGCCCCTACGGTTAGGAAATTACGGTCATTTGTTTGAGGGGAGTCGTCACTATGAGAAATAGACTGCAAAAATCCTGTGTCTCTCTGTGCTGCTGCGTGTGTAAACAGATGCACCTGTTTTGGTGGGGAAAAGTGCACAGCCTCTCTGATTGGTGGATTCAAATTCACCAGCTCCCAGGCTGACCTAGAAACTTACTTCTCTCTCCCTGTGTGTGTGTGTGTGTGTGTGTGTGTGTGTGTGTGTGTGTGTGTGTGTGTGTTTGTGTGTGTGTGTGTGACAGAGAGAGAGAGAGAGAGAAAGCCTTTTAATGGGATGATCCCATTGTAAGATTCAAATTCAATATATTTAGACTGGTTGACTGAATTGGATCTTGTGTGTGTGTCTCTCTGTGCATGTGTGTTTCCTCATGTGTACATATTTGTAATTGTGTGGCAGTCATAAATTTTTTTGCTGATTTTTGTCATTTAACAAGTATATTTGAGGGAACCTCAGCATGTTCAGCATTTTTTCAGCTGTCCATTTTGCTTTTCCAATTTTTCTGTTAAACTTATTACTATTGTGCTAAATCACACTATTTCTGCTATTTTATAAGATTTGTGCTTAATATACTATTTCTGCTTTTATAGGATTTGTGCTTAATATAGTATTTCTGCTTTTTATAAGATTTGTGCTTAATATAGTATTTCTGCTAAATTTAGTATTTCTGATTAATTATAGTCTTTCTACTAAATCATAGTACATTATTTCTGCTTTTTATGGGATTTGTGCTAAAACAAAGTATTTCTACTAAATGTAGTATTTATGCTTAATCATACCATTTCTGCTTTTTATAGGATTTGTGCTTAATATAGTATTTCTGCTAAATTATAGTATTTCTGCCAAATTATAATATTTGTGCTAAAACATAGTCTTAATTTAAAATTACAATATTCATAGTTCATCACAGTGTCTCTGGTAAATCACAATATTTCTGCTCTGTTGTACTATTTTTCTAAATCATAGTGTTTCTGTAATGTTTAAGTATTTTTGGCTAAATATATTCTTTCTGTTATCTTATACTATTTCTCCTAAATTCTTGTATTTTTGAGAAGTTATCATGTTTCTGGTAAGTTACAATATTTCTGCTAAATTCTGCTATGCTATTGTATTTCTGCCAAGTATTATGTTTCCTCTAAGATATTGCAGTTCTGCTAAGTTATTCCATTTTAGCAAACTTCTTTTGCTTCTGCAAAGTTTTTACAATTTCTGCAACTTTTCAGCTTTTTCAGCTACTTTTTGCATACAGCTTCAGCTTTAAGCATCCACACTGCATTTTCGCAGGAAATGCAAATTTTTCTAGTTATTCTTGTTATTCTTATTATTATTATTTATATTTAAGCTTAATCTATTCCCTTTTTATCTGCTAATGTTGGAATGACACTTTAGATTTTCAAATGCCAATTTACATGCGACATTGAAATAAATTGACATAAATGTTATTTTCTGTTTGTGTATATAAATCTGTGTCTGGTTTATGTAGCTCTACAGAGGAGTTGGTAGTCCATCTGTGCAATTTTGATGAGTCCACAGTCTGTTCTGCTCAGCTGGATATCAGCGCTGTGTCTGACAGCAGATACCCATCAAATACACAGGTCAGAATCAATAATCTGTTTCCCTAAACGTCACTTATATACAGCATGCAAGTATAAATGTAAATGTAAAAGCTTCACACAAAACAATAGGATAATTAACAGGGTTTTTCTTTATTTGTAAGCTGAGCTTTTATCTTCTTTAGAACATAAATGCCATTTTTAAAATAAGGGAATCTCCTCGTTGTTTTTCATTAATTTAAGGCTTTTTCATCTTTAAGAATATAAGTCAATATTAAGTATAACTTCTTATCATTTACATGAAATTTGAAAAAAAATGTTTTAATAGATTAAATTCATCCAGACTTTGGAACTTAAAAAAAAAATAAAAAAGTAGAATGGTGTGCTCTAATTCATGAAAATTAAATATATATATATATATATATATATATATATATATATATATATATATATATATATATATATATATATATATATATAAATTATTGTTTACTATGTCTATGTTATAAATATGAGACAATACAGAAATGTGTTTAATATCTAATTGTTTACTGTGACGCTGTGTATTAAAACACAAAAGCCTGTGTGAAGATGCAAATTAATGGATCATTTTTCATCGTTTTTTTTGTTACATTGCTGGTCAAAATCAATCCACCCATTCATCAGTTTTCTTCCATTTATCAGGCCTGGGTTGTTCGGCAGTTAGGCAGAAATTTGTTTTGAGGGTCGCTGAGGTTCCAGTTCACTAACTCAGTCACTGTGGCAGTTAATAATGCAGGAAGTGTGGGCCAATCACTGATGAATAATGAATGTGTGGCAGGTTTTCTTCACAGTGGGATGACAACATGCTAATCACAGTAACACTTAAACCTTGATATACAGAGGACTGTCCAGAAGACCAAACATACGAATACTTTGTCATACGTTTACATTTATGTCGAGGTTTTCTTTCTACTAAGTGAGTTTTGAGGCATGAAATGAATCAGTCCTGATTCTGGAATAAAAAAGAAGAAATAAACTTATCTGGATCTGTGAAACTTACTTTGAGTGAATTTTCAGCCTTGTCAAAGTAATTATCAAGGGCAGCGCTGATGAAAATCAACCCAGCTGTAGAAATCGTTTGATTTTGCCCTTGTTTTAAAGTTAAATACTAAGTCTCTTAAAAACTATATTATATTTATCAAAAACCATTTAATTATTCTCAAAAATTAAGTAAAGCTTCATCAATAATTCAGAATAATTTCGAACTTCTAACTTTGGGAATGAATTTAGTTCATTTGGGGAAGTTTGAAGCCTTTTTCTTTCTTCTAATATGAAGTGATGAGTTTGGCTTATCTTCTTAAGACAAAATGAGAATTTTACTAATATTCCTTCCAATCTTACAAACATATAAAATCTGGGGTACTTTTAGCACTTCGGTATCAATTGGCCCAAATGTCACAAGCCAGACTTCTTATGGTTCATGACAAGTGTAGTGTGGGCATCTGTGGCCCATGCTACACTTGTCAAGGAGGAGAACTGGCAGATGAGTTGCAGCAACCAGGCTCTTAATTGCTATCTGAGTAGGTATGGCCATTTTTCACTTTTATGGGCTAATTCCCCAAATGAGCAAAGAAGTGATCATGATAACATTCATTCAGAATTAGCTTCAAATAATTGTTTTTCTGACCTTAATGTGACATTTTTTTACTGTTTCCATTGAAAATTAGAGGTTTTGCTGAATAAATAGTAACTGACCTTTTTTGGCCTTTTTTCGGCAGGGGGAACATGAATGGCCTCTTCATGTGGCTCGCCTTTATCAAAGCTGGTATCACTTCCGCTCAACAGTGGCTGTAAGAAACCAAAAATTATTAATTTTTCTTCTATAAAAGACCTACATTTCACTGGTTATGAAACCTTAAAGACACACAGTCCTCTTCTTGCTGCATGAACATGAAAACACTATTTAAACAATCCTCACTTTTACTAAGAACATTGATGGAAACATTAGTGTTATAAAAACATTTTATTTTATGTTGCCTGTCATAGAAATTTTCATTATTGATGTTATTTATATAAATATTTTCACAGAAACATGGATCCTACAGACTGTTGGGCTATAATAATGTATATGCTTATCAATATCTTTCTTCAGGGTCAAGCAGACTGCAGTACCAACTATCAATACGCAGGGGCGCTCTTCACAGACTACCACTTCTACTTCTACAGACACTGCACGGAATTTTAGAAACATAATTACAGACAAATTACAAAAACATGTTTATGGAAAATTTGCTTTATTTCTGCAAAGATGACAATTAGAGAAATCCAAGTATGCTCCAATCACTTCTGCAAGTTTTTATGTTTGGTTGTTTTGTTTTGGGGGGTTTCGCGGGGTGGGGTGGGGGATGGGGGGGCAGGTTTGTTATTCTAGAAAAATGGCTGGTTAATTTAAAAAAAAACAAAAAAACGACAGGTTGAAAACATTAACTTTGACGTTGTATTATTTAATGTATTTTACTCATATCTTTGTTTTGTGCTAACTTTTACACAGACTGGCAAACATGGAAATGCCAAAAATAAAAAACATTACAACGACCCATCTTCCAATCAGAGAGGGGGAGTCAGAGATGGGATTTACTGTGACTGCAGTTCAGACAGGATAAGTGTAGGCACACATGCGGGGATCATCGAGATTTAAAAAAAAGTATATTTCTGCCATGTGAAAATTTGTTTTTTATATGCATTTTTAAATTGTCTATTTTTCTGCCTTTTCTCAAATATTTGTTTTTGTTTTTCTTTGATATGAGCAATTTTACCTCCTTGTGTCTGTGAAACTGTTAAAATGTAGATAGATATAAAAATCCTTATATACACACGACATCCCAGATGAGAATGAATGAATAATTTATATTAAATACTTTGTTTCTTCAGATAGTTGAATGTGCTGACAAAAAAATCACACAAAATTTATCAATGGAAATCAAATTTAGCAACCCATGGAGGTCCATATTGTGAGTCACGCTCAAAATTAAAATTGAAAAAAAAAAAACCACACTGCAGGCTGATCCAACTTTGATGTAATGCCCTTAAAACATGCCAAAATGAGGCTCAGTAGTGTGCGTGGCCTCCACGTGCCTGTATGACCTCCTTACAATGCTTGGGTATGCTCCTGATGAGATGATGGATTATCTGTTGAGGGATCTTCTCCCAAGTCCTGGACTAAAGCATCTGCCAACTCCTGGATCAGGCGGGACATGATGTCCCAGATATGTCCACTTGGATTCAGGTCTGGGGGAACGGGCGGGCCAGTCCACAGCATCAATGCTTTGTCTTGCAGGAACTGCTGACACAAGCAGGCAGCAGAACATTCTCCACGGTGTCTCCAGACTCTGTCACATCTGTCACATGTGCTCAGTGTGAACCTACTTTCATCTGTGAAGAGCACAGGTCACCAGTGGTGAAGATGCCAATCTTGGTGTTCTCTGGCAAATGCCAAACACTCCTATCCTCCTAGTTTACGCATACAAAATGCAAATATGGCCATAGGGTTAACTTGTCTTGGTTTATAACTGTAATCATCATTTCCTAAAACAATAAAAGTTCATTTTAAATATTTAAATATTATCTATAAACCTAACCAAGGAAATGGCAGAATAGCTTGTGATAAAAGACCGAAACACCCTTTGAAGTTGAGGCACACGACGATGTGTCCTGTTGGTAAAGTTTCCGGGTGCCATTCCTCAAGACTTTCACCATTTGAAGCAATGTTTTATCAGGGATTGTAACACTTAGTTACAAAATGATTATTGAATCATTTAAATATAATGTTAAGTGTTTTTAGAATTCGTAAGTTTTATATTCAACATTCAAGTTTATGGGGATGTGCCACTTTCTATGCATTACCATAGTGTAAACGTGGTCCTGACTTCAACCTGTAATCAAACCTTGTAATTACTGACTTTCTATATTGCACCACTATTGGGTAAAAAATTTAACTTTATGTTTACGGCCAGTTTTAGCTTCACAAATGGGCTCCTCCATCATAAATCCAGCGTGCAGTGTGTATTTACTCTAAAACAGACTGGTCACATTTTGTTGGGAAAAGTGTTTTCCTCTTGAATTCTACGAGCTCAGAGGTAAAAAATGCAAAACTGAAAGTTTCCTACTTGAAAGATGAAACATGCTAACACAAACATCAAGGAGATGCATTCAAAATTAAAGTAATACAAATTAGAAACATCCTATCTCAAAGTAATGCTCATGCTTGCTTGCGTATTTATTATTTCTAGGCTCGACTGCTGTATTTCATCAAAAATATGTAGAGGCCACCTTTAAAAGTCACTGAATGATTCAAAGTGCTGTATGTATGAACATAATTTTTTAAGAGAATCTGGTTTCTTGACCATGTGAGTTTGTTCAGCAGAAAGCACACACACACACACACACACACACACACACACACACACACACACACACACACACACTGATGACTAATTCAGGTGGAGGAGGTGCAGCAGAAACACCAAGCTAATTAGGCATCTGAGTGAACCAGCTCAGCTGCACAGAGGAAGCTAAAGTTGCAGGACAGAGACAAAGCAAAGGACCAAGATGGACTCTCAGCACATTGTAAGTATCTGCTGAGTTGTTTTTCTTTATTTAAATACATTATTTGTGGTTACTAAAAAAAATGCTGTATTGAACATTATTTTTGAAAATTATAAGGAAAACAGAAAGCCTAAGCTCTCAGCTGCTGCATGGGTCCGTTGACTTTTGATTTTGACACTGAATGCAGATTGAATTACGTGAGTTTCATATCATAACAGTTAGTTAAAATGATGATTCCCTCTATTAATAAAGGAAAAAAATAATCCAAGCCTATCTGGTCCTGAGTTAAAAATCACGAGTTAAGTGTGATCAACCATATTTGTTTGGATAGCTGAGTACAATTTCATTAGTCACACTTAGATTAGATTACTTAAGTAGAACCTGCGTGACAAAGTGAAGTAGGTTTCAAGATCTCAAAAATCAACAGATCCTGTTACAATCTAAAGAAACAAACAGCTGAGAAACAAAGTGTTTGATATCTATCAGTCTGGAAAGGGTTACAAAGACCGTTATTCACAAATGGAGAAAACATGGAACATCTGTGAACCTACCCAGGAGTGACCAGCCTACCAGAAGTAGTCTGAGTGGATCATTGCCTCAATAATAAAAGAGACTGGGCAAAACTGGCATCCATGGGAGACTTCCATGGAGAAAACCCCTGCTGACTAAAAAGAGCACAAAGGCTTGTCTGACATTACCAAAAAGCATCTTGATGAACCCCCAAGTTTTGGGGGGAAATATTCTGTGGACTGATGACACAAAAGCTAAACTTTTTGGAAAGTTTGGGTTACATTAAATCTGGAGCAAAACTAACACAGCAATTCATAAAAAGAACATCACAGTCAAACATGGTGGTAGTAGTATCCTGGTCTGAGGCTGCTTTGCTACTTGAGGACCTGTATGACTTGTTGTAATTGTAGAATTCTGCAAAAAAGATTGGGCCAAAATTCCTCCACAGAGATCTCAAAGACTTATTGACTGTTGTCAAAAATGCTTGATTGCAGTTGTTGCTGCAAAGATGGCCCAACCTGTTAAAATTTAAATCTACATTTTGCATATTTAACACTACCACTTTCTAATGTATATTACACTGATGGTGAGTTCATACAGACTGGTACTCAAAGGCCTTGGGTAACAAACAAAAGCATCAGCTGAGAGCTTGTGAGGTCATTCAGGACTGGAGTGACCTCTCTGGGTTAATTTGGTTGGACCAGTGAGGTAAATCTACACAAAACAAAAAAGACAAAAACCAGGTGTAGCGTTCCTGAGCCGATATAACCACCTAATCTCTACTCTGTGTGTGTGTGTGTGTGTCTGGTGTCGTCTGTCAGCCCGGAGACTGATGGACAGATGTCTCCTGTCACCACGGTAACTGTCTCCTCCTTTTCCAGGCTTCCGTCTGTCCTCTGACAACATGTAATTAACTGACACTCTACCCTCTGTGTGCGTGCATGCGTGTGTGTGTGTGTGTGTGTGTGTGTGTGTGTGTGTGTGTGTGTGTGTGTGTGTGTGTGTGTGTGTGTGTTGCAGGGCCGGATCGGAGCTCGACATCTCTCTCAGATTCAGGAGGAGTCAGACAGCAGAGAGCACAGGTAACCTGTCAGGTGAAGAGATACACCACCGATAGAAAGAAAAGAAAGAAAGAAAAAACAGGAAATGACAAATTGATCTGAAACAAACGAGTCTGATTAAGAAGCTACCAGGCAAAGGTAGGATTACACAAGCAGGAAGAGAGGCTAAAAGGGGAGGGGGACAGTCTTGATAGTGCGTTCGTGCATATCATTGTTGTCATCATTTCACATAGGAAGGCTCCTAACTGAGCAAATTGACCTGGGAGTATCTGTATTAAGAGCTGTTTGATTTCTCTAGGTGCTAAGGAAAGGCGCATGTGTGCTTCCTTTGTTACCTCCTTTAGCAGAGGATACATTGGAGCATCTTTTGAAGCAGACAGTGCCATCTATCTATTCATAGCGACGCACCACCTGACGATTAATGAAAGCAGTAAGCAAAGCAAAGTAGTGCATATCATGTAAATGTTGAGTATATGTGTCCATTTCATAACATAATTTGATATGTTTTCAATTTTTAATAACAGACCATTAAACCCACAGCTGAACTCTGAGCATCAAATAAAATCTGCAACAGAGATTTATATAAGCTCTCTAAATCAAGATTATAAGCAATATTAATTATACTTAAGTTTCCCTGTAAATAAGCTTCCATTAGTTATGTCCCCACAATGGCCTCTTAATTGCATAAGTAATAGTCATATAAAATCCTAAACAAGGAGGAGGATTGGAGTTAGAGTCCAACATCTCTCTAGCAGGAAACATTATAATGCTGATGATTTATAATTTATTTCATTCAGAAATCAGGTTGTTGTTTTTATGATCTGCATGAAACAACGCAGTAAGAGAACACTGGGGAAGGTTTAGGGTTAGCATTTATACTGCATGTATTTAATAAAATAGCTCGTTAAAAACACAAAATGAACAATCGATTAGCCTTAACTATTGACTTAAATTGATTAAATAATAGGAATAGAAGGTTCAAATTTCCAAAAGAGAATAAAAGCACAACTTAGATTTTGGTGGTTAGTAAAGTGGTTAAAAAAATTAAAAATAAGAACTATAAAGCAAAGTCATCCAAACTAAACTTGGATGGAAACATTGCTGCTGGCAATAGAGGACCTGGAAACTCAGTCAGGGCAGTTCAATCTGATAACCGTGTGTGTGTGTGTGTGTGTGTGTGTGTGTGTGTGTGTGTGTGTGTGTGTGTGTGTGTGTGTAAGAGAGAGATAATCTGCACTGAAGCACAACCTTGGCAGAGGGATACTTTACTGTGATCAGACCCACTGTGTAAACAAATCTGAATGGAAACTGGTTTACATGGAGGAGTTTGTGTGTCACAGTGTGTGTGTGTGTGTGTGTGTGTGTGTGTGTGTGTGTGTGTGTGTGTGCGTGCGTGCGTGCGTGTGTGTGTGTGTGCGTGCGTGCGTACGTGTGACTATATGTCTTTGTGAGGCTTAGCTCTTTTTTAAAGATTTAATCTTCAAAGGGCTCTTTGAGAGTTCCGACTTGGTTTTTAGGGTTCATGTTTAAAATCAGTTTTGGTCCTGAGAACATGATATTAACATGGGTCCACACAAAGATAGGATGGCAAATTTCTGTGTGTGTCTGTGTGTTAATTGCTATGCCAATCAGCACGCACTGTCAGCTTGACAAGATTAAGACATGATGGGCTGAAATATGAACTCATCACTCTCCCTCCTGCTCTGTCAGTTCCTGTTTCCTGCCGCCAATCATCCAGCAGCAGCAGAAAGGCGAAAGAAGGAAAGCACGTGTGGTGGAGAGACAGGAAGAGAGGAGTCCGTCTGATGATCCATCCTCGCTGCCTCTGGGCAGCCAACAGGAGAAGCTGGAGGACAACAGGAGTCTGC